TTTGGATAGCTTGATCTATATTTAGACAGGTGCTGTTTTTTAAAGGACACCCCCATTATAATCTTTCAAAAACATTGTGTCCAGACATTCAAGCTGGTACTGTTTACAATATATTGTGAGCTGACACTTGTGTGACCATTCAGTATTTAGTTTGAACCCTTGACATCATGTATGAATTAGTGAAAACATTATAATAAGTTATGTCCTTATAATTACGTCATCTGAAAGGGGGTGGGTAGTGTCTCCAGAACAAGCTCTGTCAGTAAACATGTAGGGGGGAGTCACTTTAATAAGCGATTGTAGTTTCAAATTGCTTTTTATGCACTTTAATATCTAAGTTTGATTCTAACGGACTTCTGCCTATCTCAAACGCACAAAATGTTTCTTGCATATTTTGTTTCCTGAAGTTTGTTATGCATTTATTGCAGATTTTGCTAAATGGGGATACCAAGATAAAAATTCAAACAAAATGGGGATCATGAGGCTGGAACATAGCAAAACCAATTTGCTTAAGGTTGACAGATAACATGTAGACAAATAAAACATAAAAACAGCTGCATTTGTATCATTTTTCGGTGAGGCTGACTACTTTTTTAACGTCTCTGTAACCGGATGTATGTCACAATGAGAGGTGTTCCTGCAACTAGAGTTAAAACGGCAGAACGATGTGGATCTGTTCTGGTCAGACTCATGCATTGTCCCCATAAATACAATCAGTCCGTGATTCCATGTCCAGCCTATGTTTTCGTAAATATGCACGTGTTTCTGATTTACAGAAAGATAGCGACAAGAAATCCGCCCAAGGCGACACATCATTGCAAATCGAAACTGACTGACTGACTGACTGGCTGAGTTTTGCTTTTACGCCGCTTTTAGCAATATTCCAGCAACATCACGGCGGGGGGACACCAGAAATGGGCTTCACACATTGTACCCATGTGGGGATTCGCTTTAACCACTAGGCTACCCCACCGCCCGCAAATCGAACCACCCAATTGAATGATCATTTCTTGTTTTCTATATGTTAAGCCACCATCAGTGAGTGAGTTTAGATTTAAGCCGCCTTTAGCAATATTCCAGCAATATCACGGCGGGGGACACCAGAGAAGAGCTTCACACATTGTACCCATGTGGGGAAGCAAACCCGGGGATTCGGCGTGACGAGCGAACGCTTGAACCAAAGGCAGTGTGCGAAATAGTTTCCAAATTTTGCTATCCAGTCGGGCTAGCTATGCCTGAAAGTTACTAGCCCACAAAATAATTCACTAGTCCGAACTTTGAAGCTGCCAATATGATGAACATTTTTATCGTAATCTTGCATGATCTAAAAGTGTATTATAACTTAACAAGTCGGAGATAGTTATATAGTTATATAGACCCCTTGCAAATTCACCAGCCAGTCGGGCCAGTGACTGTAGAGATTTACTGGCCCGACAGGATTTTTACTAGCCACGGGCTAGCTGGCCAGTGGCTATTTCGCACAATGACCACAGGGCTATACCACACCGCTCTTAAGCCACCATCAAACATGATCATATACTCTCTTTTGCCTGTTTGTTTAAATACCTTGAGTATGAGACGGAAAACAACAGAATAACCTTCAAAGTTATGTCAGTTTTAGTCAAGTGAACAAGTCCCAGTACTGCTTCCTCCGAGATAATCAAGTGGTCTAAGGTGACCCGAGAGTGACGTGATCATGACTCCCACCTGCAAATCAGTTTCTTGTTTATACATTCCTGCTGGACGTAAATTAACCCTATCAGGAGAATGATATTTATACGATATACCTGAATGCGAGTGATCAGGTACGTGTCACGTTGATACTATACCTACTGGAGGTAATGTACGCACATTGCTAGATAGTGTAAACAACATATTTGTACGTTCGATGTTTACCATTGTTAATACATGAGTGACGTGTTTGACTGTTTATGTTAACACACTGGCTTAACAGTTGGAGCTATATGACAAGGGTAATCTGGGTGTGGCAGTACGATCCTGGTGGGTGGGGCGGTGGTACTTGTACAAGGGGCGGGGTGGTGTAGAACTTGACTGGCTGAGTAGTTGCTATGACGTTCTGACGTCAGGAAACATTAAGAGGTGAATATACAATAATAAACAACAGCCAGAGAGAATAGCCAATAGTAAATGACAGTCTTAAATTGTGAGACTCATACCCCGCAAAACCAAAGCCCCATATCGGAAACATAAAAAAGAAATCCCCCCAAACGACAAAATAACAACAAAAAAACAAGAAAAAAAACAACAAAAAACATAGAAACTACAGTAAACCAAAACAAAACAAAAAACTAAAAAGCCAACAAATCATAAAAGACATTGATTTATGTAATTTTGAAAATGATGATATTTTCATGCTGTATACTACCGCATTTATGTCGAATTTGTCCAGCTGGCTGCTTATGTATTTACCAGCTTGAAACCCTACACGAGCAGGATATGACGTTTATATTCATTTATATATAAACATGACGATCATAAATGTAATTGTTCACTCGACCTAAGCGTAAACGATGTCTTAACCTACTCACTTACAGCTCATGTTCAATATATCGCATAATTGTGATGTTTATATAATACAAGGAGCATTTAAAGAAGATAAATCTTTACAAATAGTCAAACCCTGGCACCGGTTTGCTCCTGTGTACGTCGGGCCCACGGAGATGTATGTATATATGGAAGCGTTTTGGTGTACAGTCCAAATACGTACATCTGTGCAATGTGCATGTGATAGTGAGTGAGTGGATTTAGTTTTACGCCACACTCTGCTATATGGCGCCGTCTGTAAATAATCGAGTTTGGACCAGACAATCCAGTGATCAACAGCATGAGGCTCAATCTACCTAATTAGGAAACGATGTCATGTGTCAACCAAGTCAGCGGGCCTGACCACCCGATCCCGTTAGTCGCCTCTTACGACAAGCATGGGCTACTGAAGATCAATTCTACCCCGGATCTTCACGGGTCGTGCATCTGATAGAACATAGGAAGAGGAAAGTATAATCTACGATAGAATGAGCATCTTTAGTTCCGGGTCATTTGTCTGTAACGTCTTGTTGATTTCATAGTGACAGGTTTATTTGACTATCAATCAGAACAGGTCTATATGTGATATTTAAACTTGAAATAACGTAACTCTCCATTTAAATGTATTAAGTGATTGTTTTGCTTATTGTTTCGCTGATGTTTGACATGGAATATGAGCTAAATGTATTGAGTGGTGAAAATACGAAAAAAAACTCGAACAAAATCCTTCCAAACCTTGAAATATATTAAGAAAAATTAGAGTCAACGTTTGTATAAACGACATCAAATTAAATCGTAAGTTCACCAGATGATGAGGTCTGATGCTGAGTGACGACACGCAAGATTTTAAGCATCATCTACGTGGACTGTACTTTAATCTCCATTTATTTCAGCCAGTCTCAGTATAACAGTAACCGTCACGGACAAACCTGGCCCTTCTCCACAATAAGCTACATAGATTACGTTAAACACAACGTACTGCGTCGTCCATACTTACTTTTAAGTTGTGTTAGAGGCGTAATGAATGCGGTAACGATGTTTAAATTAAAACAAAAATACAGTTGTTAGATTGACACATAATACTCCGCAGAATAGATGCATTACTTCATCCATGTACATCACGTGATAATGACATGGAAATTAGGATCACGTTGGCTGTGGAGGTTACGTTGACGTTGTGCCGACGTTCACACATTTTCTTCTACAGGTTCGTCCAAAATCTGCCATTTATGACAATAAAAAGTGAATATTGTTGTGTTGCGAGTCCAAGTTCTGCATCTTCCGAACAGAACATATTGAGAGTGCCTGCTTCTAAATGTTCTGTTGGCAGATCAATATTCGTTTAATACAACAAAACAGTATATGCCATCAGGGGCGTAGCTACTATTACAAAAAAGCCCGGGCTTACACATGATTGTTGAAAACAAAATAGGCACGCCCTCACTACTATTTAAATATGAAGCTTTGCAACCTATCGGGCTTACACGATAAAAATGGCTTGCTACGCACCTGACCATGTCAACAATACAAGGATCGGCACACATTTTAATGTCTGACATAGACAAAGTATTAAGACAAATGTGAAATGCATGTGTTATGTGTTGTGCGCTCTCCCGATATTCAAGGGGCGGTGGGGTAGTCTAGTGGTTAAAGCGTTGGCTCGTCACGCCGAAGACCCGGGTTCGAATCCTCACATGGGTACAATGAGTGAAGCCCCTTTCTGGTGTCCCCCGCCGTGATATTGCTGGAATATTGCTAAAAGCGGCGTAAAACCAACCTCAGTCAGTCAGTCAGTCCCGATATTCAAAATTGTTATTTTCTGTTTTACTGTCTGGAAGAGCTTATACGAGTGCTTCAAATACTGCGTTTTTCACCTGAGCTTAAACATGACCCACTGAAGGTCAAAGACCACAGAGAGCAAAGCGTTACAGACAGCGATACAGAACATGTATGGCCAGGGGCTCCTTTCACCAAGCATCCTTTACTAAGGTTAACCTAAACTCCCATTCTTTAACATTGCACTAAGGTTACTTTAGTGACTTACGATCATCTTAGTGCTTTGTGACAGAAGGCCCTGGGCTGTTCCTTTACGTGTGGCTCTTGCGGCTGGGCCACCGCTTGTCGCACCAATTCATTAAAAGAAAGTATGGACGCCGCAATAGGTTGAGTTTAACGTATGTAGCACATTTCGAAGAAGCGGGGCGGTGGGGTAGCCTAGTGGTTATAGCGTTCATCACGCCGAATACCCGGGTTCGATTCCCCACTTGGGTACAATGTGTGAAGCCGATTTCTAGTGTTCCCTACCGTGATATTGCTGGAATATTGCTAAAAGAAGGCATAAAACTAAATACACCCACTCCCGTTTGACTTGGGAATTCTTTATCTCATTCCTTTACATGCGTCGATCGGTAAATAACACACTGGGGTAAATGGAAGTAAACTGAAAATTCAAGAACTGATGTTGAATTAATTTATTATGGTGTCCAAGACCATCAGTTGTGTATTATAACATGGAAGCTTGTATTTAGATATCGCCAATCTGGATACATCCTCAATATATAGCTATAGGCCACCATAGTGATTTTGGGAAATCATATCTGAAAAATAAAACGACTCCGTTAGAGATTTTTTGGGTGAAACTGTAAGATTCGAAAAGAGAAAACACCTAGTTCCTGTTTTGATGTTTTAGATGTAATAGGTGGTAGAAATGTAATTATTTCAGTCGTATCATCCTGTGTATGTTATTGATATATAGGGATTATTACACGAGCAAGTGTGTCATACGACTTGAACGAAACGAGTATTAAATGTGCACGAGTTTCATATAAGTCGTATGGCACACTTGCGGGCGTAATAATTTCTTTATTGTCCTTTTTATTTATGTACAATTGTGCAGTAAAACACGGTAAGCAAACTTTGACGGCCCTGTTAATTGCCGTCACCTTCAATTGTTTAATGACGTCACAGACGACGAAATACAGAAACAATGTTTTTTTTATGCAAAAGTGATATGTGCACATGTGCACGTATTGAAAATATGGCATGTGTTATGTCCCACCATATGGATAATTAATTCAGTATATTCGTGCCAACCTTGAGGTCCCTGTATAATCGAAATATTGCAGTAAAGAAAGAAAGAAATAAACAAAGGCATTTCAGGCAAAACGTCTGTAACAATGAGTCCATTTGGCAACTATGGATGTAGTTTTTAGTTGTTCCTTTCACCTAGGTCTCAAATTGATATTGTGTCTGCTTAGTTTGAGTGAAAATGGCTGCATATGGACATTATCTTTAGTATTAATATGAGTATACGACGAAAACGTCACATTTAAACTGAAACTTGTAATAAATAATGTCATTAAAGTAATCAGATGGTGGTCCTTCGATAGGTTTTTGCCATCCCTTACACTGTTGATAGTCGAGAAGTCTTTTCGGTCATTTCCAAACCTCGTTGCTTTCTCGGACCACTTTGTTTCTTGACAGACTTCAGCTGCGTCAAGATTACTATCATATAATATTTGTAATTACAGCAGAAGGACACTGCTGGTCAGATCACGAAGGTAGAACTAATATGGATCACCGGTTAAATATTCATTGGATATTGTTACTTTGGTGACCTTCCCAATATTGCAATCTCCTATAGCGTAGTTTGTGGACATTTCTCAATTGTGCAATCTCATTGAGCGTTATCTTGTGGACCTTTCTCAATTGTGCAGTCTCGTTGAGCGTTACCTTGTGGACCTTTCTCAATTGTGCAATCTCGTTTAGCCTTACCTTGTGGACCTTTCTCAATTATGCAATCTTGTTTAGCCTTACCTTGTGGACCTTTCTCAATTGTTTAGTCTCGTTGAGCGTTACCTTGGGGACATTTCTCAATTGTGAAATCTCGTTCAGCCTTACCTTGTGGACCTTTTCAATTGTGCAGTGTCGTTTAGCCTTACCTTAAGGACATTTCTCAATAGTGCAATCTCATTTAGCCTTACCTTGTAGACCTTTCTCAATTGTGCAATCTCGTTTAGCTTTACCTTAAGGACATTTCTCAATAGTGCAATCTCGTTTAGCCTAAACTTAAGGACATTTCTCAATAGTGCAATCTCGTTTAGCCTTACCTTAAGGACTTTTCTCAATAATGCACTATCATTTAGCCTTACCTTTAAGGACATTTCTCAATAGTGCAATCTCGTTTAGCTTTACCTTAAGGACATTTCTCAATAGTGCAATCTCATTTAGCCTTATCTTAAGGACATTTCTCAATAGTGCAATCTCATTTAGCCTTACCTTAAGGACATTTCTCAATAGTGCAATCTCATTTAGCCTTACCTTGAGGACATTCCTCAATAGTGTAATCTCGTATGGCCTTACCTTGCTAGCATTTCCCAATACTGTGAATAGTGAGATTGGGTGTGGTACATTTTCCTTTGTCAAACTCGCATCTGGAAGTGAAATATTGGAAAGCCAGATTAGTATCTATTGCCTATAATATGTTCGGGTGACTAGAATTGGTGTAATTTCGTTATTTTGTATAAAGATCACTGGGGTATCCCTGGTGCCAAGCAAATCAAAATCGTCCTGGTTGTATGTTGAGTTTGTCATGGAATACCCCTGTTGGCTTGTCCCTGAGAAGGGGTGAACACCATCTACCTTCATTACTTTCAGATTTCAATGGCACTAATGATATAACCTATATATACTGCTTAAAATTTAACAAAATCGCAAGTATGATATAATGATGATAATACAGTGTATTTGTAGAGCGCTAGACTCCATGCACTAGTGCATGCTCAAAGCGCTACAAATTTGTTACAATCTGATTATTATTGCCCCTGATAGCATAAGCTGCCTGTGAGGCGCTAGAGGGTTATAGTCACATGACTTATCCCACCGGGTACCCATTTTCTGCTGGGTGAACAGAGGCAATTTTGAACAAACTCACTTGCCTAAGGTGAGACCACATGTATCACATGTGTTTCGTAGTGGGGCACGACTGAAGTCCTAGAAACTCTCAGGAGTCAAGCTGCCAAAGACGGTCACCCATCCAAGGATTCTCCGAGCTCGACGTTGCTTAACTTCAACTGATTTGTGACCTGAACCCTATGCACAGGACCACACACCACCAAATACGCAAGTATACGCATACGTACAAGTTGGAGTACGTATTTCCATCGCTGCCACACACCAGCTCAGTTTCAGGGGGACAGGAATAGTTCTTCACAGTCTTGCAGATGATGTCAGGAGCCGTTAGCTGACATTTGCCATTGTTTTTGATGGCCAGTGATGGCGATTTGCACTTTGCAACTTCAAATGTACACCTGAAGCAAAACGCCATCAATGTGTGTATTAAACGGTACCTACAGTCAGTTTAACAGACACGTATCTTAATTTGTGAACGATTGGACTATTTTGAAACCTAGTGAAACTCATATTGTCCACTGAAATCAACAATCACATATTACTACGTCATCATCGACTCTGGTCAATTTGTTACACCTACAGCGGTATCTGCATACCGTCAGCAGTGATATACTGTGACGTCATAATCGAATCTGATATGTCTGTTACAACGTCGGCACAAATCTAGCAGTAGTTTGAACATAAGTCAATCAACAATGACACATAATTATATATATGTCTTTCCTGTAGAACAGTTCAAACTCCACAAGACAACCTAACTTGACGTGCAAGTAGTGTAAAGTACTCACATGTTATCATACGTTTCCAGATCCGTTCCACACACTTCCTCCTTCAGATCTGGACATGTGGCGCTGACCAGTATCTTACATATAGCGCTGAGTGTGGCTGGGCTTGTCGGCACAGCCTGTGTGGTTGATTGTGCCTGTGTGGTTGATTGTGCCTGTGTGGTTGATTGTGCCTGTGTAGCTGTTGGTACCTGTGTAGGCTGACTGCTTGGCATGGATGTCACGCAGTCGATAACCTTCAAGTTCTGGTCGAGACAATGAGCCTTCGCGAAGTGACATCTTGATTGAAATAAATATTCACAATAATTTTACTTAGTTGAGAGTGCAAATGATTTCAGTTGTACAATAACAAATGAAGACATTGATGAACATAACGTTTCACAATATAGTACAGCTAAAATAACTGTTGGTTGTTTGGTTGTTTTGTTGTTTAACGCCGAACTCAGCAATATTCCAGGTATATGGCGGCGGTCTGTAAATTATCTAGTCTAGACCAGACAATCCAGTGATCAACAGCATGAGCATCGATCTACACTATTTGGATACGATGATGTGTCAACCAAGTCAGCGGGCCTGACTACTCGATCCAGTAGGTCGCCTCTTACGACAAACATTGGTTGCTGAAGACAAGGATCTTCACGGATACAGAGTACCTGTTAAAGGTGGCCATGGAAGTCACCAGGTTTCTATGGTGTGTTGTAAATGTATGTTGTTTCCTTTCAATTCAGGTGATAACCGTTTGGGGACTGACACAATTTATAATCAAATACACAACACGTAAACGTACATGCAATTTCGTGTACGCTGCATAGTCACCAAGTCTCTGAGAATATTGCAAATTTATGTTGTATCCTTACAATTCATCTGATATCCTTATTGTATGATTCAGTACATCTCTCTCAAACATAGTTTCCAGTGAGTGAGTGAGTTAAGAGTTTAAGTCACATCGGCAATGTTTCAGCCATATCGTGACTACATCCTATTATAGAATCATAGTAATTGAAAGTAAATTTTAAAAAATCTGTCAACGAAGGACAGTAAAACAACTAGATCATCACAGATATAAATTTAATACTAGTAATTAAATCTAAAATAGTTTAACTATAAATGACAATACAATATATAAACAACCAAAGGTAGATCACCATACAATGGACTTACAGTACATTTACTTCCTGCATGGACCCTAGCCTGGTTTACGCCATCCCTTCAGATGTTAGAAAATTTTAACAATCTAGCCATAAATTAAAATAACATAAATGTTGCAGTTAAAAATAGTAGTACATTTAAATTTACTATAATTGTTTTGGGACTTGCGTAGTTTTCAGTGCAACTTCTGCGTTAAACTAAATGTGAAGTAAGACACAGGTATATCATGCGTGTCCACCTGCATGCGTAACTCCTTGGACAGGAACCGATAAAAAAATGAAGAAGAGCGAGTGAGTATGGTTTAACAACCCTTCTCAGCAATACTCCAGTAATACCACGGCGGGGGACACCAGGAATGGACTTCACACATTATACCCAAGTGGGGAATCGGAGCTGAGTCTTCAACGTGGCGAGCAAACGCTTTAATAAAGATGCTACCCCACCGCCCCAGTTAAAAGGACACTTTGTATATATTACCAGTGACATGTTGGAAACCTGTATGTTGTAGATACAAAATTATCAGCTTACTCAGTGACATAGCGCTTCCCGTCCGAAGCGCATATATCCACCTTTGGGAAACTGCCTGACAAACAGTTCAGCTGTCTGACCACTGACGCACAGACATTTTCAAAGATGCCCGCCTCCGATACGCTAACTGCAGTTAAAGGAAATGAAGAGCCATATAATAATTACAGTTTGGGACACCAAGTAACATACACGAAGAGGTAGAATACATTGGAAATACGCGGCCAGATAGGGACAATGCAAAACGAACAAACACTAATTCGGATATTAAACACTAACACTAATATGGGCTTGTTCGCACTGGACACGTGGAACTTACGGACAGTATATAGTACACATTCACCAGAAATACTAAAATTGGCGACACTTGGCAGTTGGTGATATACACACAAACAGGGTTATACATTTTGAATAACAGTGACAGAACCCTTTCAGTATCTGTTATATCTGGGCTAAGAGCATAGTCGACTTTCAACTCAGTTAGTATGTGAGTTTATTAATCACTATGCTGATATTCACGAAAGACTGAGCGTATCCTGACCCACCAATGGCATCGATGACGTTGTTTAGAATCATCATACCTGTCTCTGACAAGCATTTGACGATGTTTAGAATCATCATACCTGTCTCTGACAAGCATTTGACGATGTTTAGAATCAGCATACCTGTCTTTGACAAGCATTTGACGATGTTTAGAATCAGTATACCTGTCTTTGACAAGCATTTGACGTTGTTTAGAATCAGCATACCTGTCTCTGACAAGCATTTGACGCTGTTTAGAATCAGCATACCTGTCTCTGACAAGCATTTGACGCTGTTTAGAATCAGCATACCTGTCTCTGACAAGCATTTGACGCATGTTTAGAATCAGCATACCTGTCTCTGACAAGCATTTGACGATGTTTAGAATCATCATACCTGTCTCTGACAAGCATTTGACGATGTTTAGAATCAGTATACTTGTCTTTGACAAGCATTTGAAGATGTTTAGAGTCATCATACCTGTCTCTGACAAGCATTTGACGATGTTTAGAATCATCATACCTGTCTTTGACAAGCATTTGACGATGTTTAGAATCAGCATACCTGTCTCTGACAAGCATTTGACGATGTTTAGAATCAGTATACCTGTCTTTGACAAGCATTTGAAGATGTTTAGAACGAGTATATTCTGGCTGTAACGAGCACTGGATTGTGTTTAGAATCAGTACGTCCTGTCTGTAAAAAGCATTTAATGGTGGATTCCTAAAACATACACGCTGCACAAATTGAACACACGGTGACCACATATACCTAGAATAAGCATCGCATTAGGGACCGTTCATAATATACAGCTAGGAGGGTGATGGTGATTTTTATGGAGAAGCATGTACAATGTCAATGGCCCCTCCCTAAAATTTATGTACAAAGTAAGTGACCCCCCTGCATGTCATGTACAAAATCAGTTACACCCCTTCCATGCATTTTAAGCATATTTTAAAAATACATTTATGCATAAAATTGTTGACGTGTGCAAAATTGATGATCTCCTACCTTCCCAGAAGAGAATGGGTTACACCCTAACCCCGCCATAAATTATGAACGGCCCCTTAGAAAAAAACACAATAAAAAAATAGAATTGCATGCATAATCGCATTGCGCAATTAGTATTACGAAATCCTCTGTTCTCGGTATGGAAGGTTCATTGTCCTTGAGTGTGCGTGAAGTAAGACTTAGAAACCACCTCTTATCAATGACATACCTTCGTTTTTAGGATCCAATGATTCATCGTAAAAATGGTCAGTACAGTCCCTCGGCACTCCGTTTTCAAGCGACCATTTCAATAGTCACGTTGGAGACACAAGAAATGTTTGCGATAGGTTATGTAAAATAAATGTAGTACCTGATATAAGCATCCATAGAGCAATACGTAGCAGAGTCATGGCTGGTTCCAAGTCAGCTCAGGTGTTATATGTCACGTGGGTACGCACCTGTAGACTGTAGATTACGTTCTTGTCTCAGATAAGGTCAGGTGAAAAACGATATTATATCGCAAGTGTTATACGACAGTTAATATGCATATTTTCTTGGTATAATCCTTGGTGAATACGTTTTAGATAATGTGAGTAATAATATTTTGTGAATGTGAGAAAAATGGTGAGCATAACCTTTAAGGCATTATAGATCATTATATATTTTATATCATTTTATATTGTACTTCCCAACTTCTAAAATGCCACTCAAAGAAATTATAGATCATTGTCATTCTCCAAATATTTCATACGAATCCCGTTCGAACCTTGCTGGCACATTTGGGGTCTCACTTTAAAAAAAGTCAATTTCCTTAAGTTATTAAGACAAAATTAATATAATAAGTTCAAAAAGGTTTCATGGAAGACAATTGGTGTCAGTTTGATTTGACTAATTCATAATAATTCATAAATCATGTTCACAGACTTTTTATGAAAATTAAAATGAAAATGGTTTCGTTCTTTTTGTTTGGAGTACTGTGCATATGTGTCAAGATTTAAAGGTGTGGACAGGAATATACGCTTTATCGTCAAGTGTTTGGTAAACGTTTCCTTTGTGTTTCCTTGGTTCGTTTCGACACGTGTCGCCCTGACGAAAGTGGTTCACTAGGTTCACGCGGTTCACTGTTCGCAGCAAATGCCAGACACTCATGTTTTTAGAGCGATAAGAACAAAAATCCGGGACAGGCTGGTTGAACATGGAAATAGAACGATTATTCTATCAGCAGACCTTATGTTTTTGGCACTCATTCACGCACGCTGTACAAAAGCGCCAACTTGTAATCTACAGAAGCGGGTTAAGATATTACTTAGATTGTGTGTTCTGTGAGCGTAACATTTAACTTCACTTTATTTCCGTACTGAGGCCACCGGCCAATATAACAATACTAAACACAACCCAGTGTAGCTATATTAAGGCACCAGTAGTTGTCTTAGTGGTGTTAACATATCAAAGTTTTAAACATTCAAAGATTTAGCACGCTTCTTCATACCAAGAAATGTGCATTTGGCAAGGCAGTTCAAAACAGCTGAATTTTGTGACATGAATGATATTGACATTATACGTGATGGATGATTTTCACAGAAATATTAAGGCAATATTACACATCTTAAATGATCAAAATGGACATTCAAACATAAACCTTTCAGAAAACGGTATGTTTTGCGTTCTGCCTCTTTCAATCATTAATCCATAATTGCTACATCTAAACACGTCTGTTGGGGTATGGAATCTTGAATCACAATGTGCTCCGACTTGAATGTAGTGACCTTAATGCGCACAAATATGAAAGATTTATATCTCCAACATCATCTTGCTCTTGTGGCCACAACTATGAAGACTCTGCTCATTATTTCTTTTCATGTACTCTTGACAACGATATACGTCAAATTATGTATTTACTAAAGTATTTGACCTAAAATCAATTTTGTTTGGAAACAAAGTAGTAAACAAAGAACTTTTAATTTTAGTGCACTCGTTTATAAATTTAACAGGCAGATTTGATCCAAAATAATTTGTTTATATGACATATACTGTTTAACAATGTTTGGCGTTATTTCTCATTTTGCAACATATCATTCACATTGTACATTCTTCATGACATGTTTACTCTTCCTTCCATTGTGGGGGCGGTGGGGTAGCCTAGTGGTTAAAGCGTTGGCTCGTCACGCCGAAGACCCAGGTTCGAATCCCCACATGGGTACAATGTGTGAAGCCCATTTCTGGTGTCCCCCACCGTAATGTTGCTGGAATATTGCTAACAGCGGCGTAAAACCAAAACTCAGTCCGTCAGTCAGTCCTTACATTGTATCCCGGTGCGGTATTTATATAAGCTTATGCTTGTTTACCAATCCGGTTCCTTTCATTGGAAATACATATATATTTAAATCATGTGTACGTTGTAGTAAAGGTTTAGTGTGGGTATTTATAGTTCGTGGTGATACCGTTTTACGGGCCATAGTGCACGGTGATAAACAAGATAACAAAACAATCTTGCATAGACAATAAAATGTCACGTACAAGTGAGTGAGTGAGTGAGTTTAGTTTTACGCCGCACTTAGCAATATTCCAGCTATATGGCGGTGGTCTGTAAATAATCGAGTCTGGACCAGACAATCCAGTGATCAACAGCATGAGCATCGATCTGCGCAATTGGGAACCGATGACATGTGTCAACCAAGTCAGCGAGCCTGACCACCCGATCCTGTTAGTCGCCTCTTACGACAAGCATAGTCGCCTTTTGTGGCAAGCATGGGTTGCTGAAGACCTATTCTACCCCGGATCTTCACGGGTCGTCACGTACAAGATCAGACTAGTCCTGATTGTTCTGGAGTGTATTTTCTTGAATATTTATGAATGGTGGTCGTTATTAAAGTGAAAATGACAATTTGTAAACATATTTTTTTATACAAACGATGTCTGTCCGCATGGTGTGTATTTTAATGCACAATGCCATTTAGAAAGAGGACAATGTAAGTGTTACACAAATTCCGTGGTCTAGACTACCAGTTGTCTGACTTCAATTTTTTGTCTAAGCTGGGGTGAGTGAGTGGGTTAGACGGCTGTGTGGTGGCGATTAGGTACCTGACTCTGAGGGTGTGGGTTCGAATCCTGGATGAGACTCTAATCCAAAAAGTACTAGGATTTGTTCTATACTGAGACTGAGTAATCCAACTTTTAACATAATGTGTATTTATTTCACATTTATTAAAAGTCGGATTAGTGGATCAGTAATGCAAATAGTGAGAAATAAAAGCCTGTATATATAATCGTAAGGAAGGATAACAATATATGGATGAACAACTTCTTTATTGCTATGAGGGCGACGTTTCGGTTTAGGTTCTTTTGCTAAAAGCGGTGTAAAACCATAGCATTACCTACTAAGTGAGTATTATAGCCCGCCGTGATGTTGCTGGAATATTGCTTAAAGCGCGTAAAACCAAATTCAGTCAGTCAGTCAGTGTTATAGACACCAGTTGCGCTTCAATACATATTACATAAGTATCTTATTGCATTATATAAGTCATCTGATCCATATATTCCCTGCTCAAGACATCTTGGTGTTGTGAACTTTTGAAGAATTTGGTTTCGAGAGATTGTTTTTAGACTTTTTCATGCTCTCTGCTAAGAACAACTTCCTGACGTGTTCAAAAGGTTCTGTATTATTAAAGTATGAAGTGGATCAAAATTATCGATTTCATACCTTGTGTTCTTAATCTATTTAATACTCTGATATTCATGTTAAGCAGAGTCCCGATAACAGTTAAACATGGATACTAGCAGATGCTGTGCTTGTAAACATATAAATATGAACGTATGAATATCCAGTGATAATATTACAGCAGAGATGAGTTTTCTTGCGATTAGACCGTGACCTGGTACTCATAGTAGATATGTGGTTTTAATTTGACGCGTCAATGACCAAAATGATTTCCGACCTAATTCCTTAATATGAGTGAGTGAGTGAGTGAGTCAATTTGTTTGCCGCACTTAGCAATATTCCAGCTATATAGCGGCGGTCTGTAAATAATCGAGTCTGGAGCAGACAATCCAGTGATCAACAGTATGAGCATCGATCTACGCAATTGAGATGCGATGACATGTGTCAACCAGGTCAGCGAGCCTGACCACCCGATCCCGTTAGTCGCCTCTTACGACAAGCCTCTGAAGACCAATTCTAACCCGGATCTTCTTGGGTCCTTAATATGATATTTCTTGGGTACCATCGAGAAGGCAGGACACGCTGAACCTTTCGCAAAAACATGGTATCATCACTATTTGATGTTTATGACAAATTGGACAGTGACCTATTTAGTCAGAAAGAGATTTGTATCTTACATTTAATCAAGAAGATTTTTTATATCATTACAAATTCCAAGCCAGTGTATCTACATGCCTGATAGTATGACAATGGTAACTGGTACCATAATTCAATATACAAGAGTATAGCGACGAATACGGTGGCCTTCTTTGACAAGGGTATATCGGCAAGCATATTAACCATCGTCATTAATACGTGTATATTAAAATACATATTTTTACTGTCGTCCGTAACAAGGGTATATTATCAATAACATTGTATATCCTCAAGGCTGAATATGATTATGGAAACGATCTTTCCGCTTTTATGTACTATTTCCAGTTACATCAGTCTATGTTCAACGTCTTAGCGGTAGTGGGGCGGTGGGGTAGCCTAATGGTTAAAGCGTTCGCTCGTCACGCCGAAGATCCGGGTTCGATTCCCCACATGGGTACAACGTGTGAAGCCCATTTCTGGTGTCCCCCGTCGTTATATTGCTGGAATATTGCTAAAAGCGGCGTAAAACCACTAGCAGTAGAGAGTGAGTTTAGTTTTACGCCGCTTTAAGCAATATTTCCAGTTACATCAGTCCAGGATGTTGAATGTCTTAGCAATAGTGAGTGAGTTTAGTTTTAGCAATATTTCCCCCCTAACAAAGTTGAATTTGGGTACGACATCTGGGGTAATTTGGCAATACGAACACATTGTTTGTGACTTGTACATCATTATCAAAACACTTTTCAACATATATATTTACGTCGGTTTGTTTTGATAATCCCCAAACACCAGGTGTGTACTTTCTTTTGTACTTCAGTTTATATAGTTAATATCAGTAGCATAATATATACAAACTTTATGGATAACAACTGCTTTATTCCGTGAGTGCGACGTTTCGATACAGACAGATTCCCATATTATATTTCTGAGCTTCTATGAAACCACTCAAAGAAGTATCTGTTGCAATGAACTGTAGGTATGACAACTGGGCAAGCACCTGTCAACACATATGTTACATATAAACCCAGATTGTAATCCCATTTTAGTTACAAAGAGTCAGACATATTCATGATGCCCCTACTGTGATGCTAAAATAGCATAACATTACGTTATTAGTCCATGATAATACACGGACACACACACACACACACACACACACACACACACACACACACACACACACACGCACGCACGAGAGAGAGAGAGAGAGAGAGAGAGAGAGAGAGAGAGAGACAGAGGCACACACAACACACGCACACACAGGCAGACAGATAGAGAGACAAACACAGACACACAGAGAGAGACACAGAGAGACAGACACAGACCGGGAGAACACACACAGACGCAAACAGACAGACAGAGAGAGACACACACTCAGACAGACAGACAGAGAGAAACACACAGACAGACAGAGAGACAGACACACACAGACAGAGAAACACACACATACACACACATACTGACACACAGACAGATAGAGAGACACACTCAGACACACAGATAGACAGACAGACAGACAGAGAGCGAGGCAGACAGAGAGAGAGTGTGAGAGAGAGACAGACACAGACACACAGACAGACACACAGACTGACACACAGACACACACACAGACAGAGAGAGATAGAGAGAGACAGACAGACAGAGAGAGAGAGAGAGACAGACACACACAGACACACACACTGATACAGACACACACAGACACACACATACACATATATACACACAGAAACAGACACACACATACACAGACACACATACAGACACACATAGACACAGACAGACACATACACAGACACACATATACACAGACACACGCACACAAGGAGGAGCTATTCGGAATTTAAAGTTCTATGGCCAACTTGTCCTCAGTTATCAAAGTCATGAAATATTTTACAGATAGGATGAAGCACAGAACACAGGGGTAACAGTTCTGACTTCATCATGGCCTGCCTAGGGAGGTTCCTCACGTTCTCCCTTTTCTGCAGCATCAACACCAGTGTCGGCAAGGACGTTCCGACTGCTGCCGAACTGGGAGCCATTATTGATGAGACCCGCACCCTGACAGAGAACTTAACTGACCGCATGGATGCAATGGCAGTGATATTTGGCGAAAGTCTGCGATTGATGACCGGTGCAGATGGTCGGATGAGGAACGCGATGGGTCAAGGAGGGATGATTATACACACGGACAACAAAACGGACCCTGGTGAGTCGCAGTCGGACATTCATAGGTCAGTAGTGAGTGAGTATGGTTTTACGCCGCTTTTAGCAATATTCCAGCAATATCACGGAGAAGGACACCAGAAATGGGCTTCACACATTGTACCTGTCCTGTATAGGGAATCGAACCCGGGTTTACAACGTCCATACATACTTCCTTTCAAACGTTTAGACGCACTTAAAATACTCACTATATGTTATGTCTATACATATGGTTACATCGAAGATGAATTTCTTCTCTAACTTGGGGGAACCAACTGCAAACCTTATGCAGATGAATTGCACGAGCATCATGCATCAAATTGCTGAAATGCATTTGCAAATATCGTTCATGTGAACAGCTGCGTCTTGGTGTAAAGATTTGTTAAGAATCATTTATCATTGCATCATTTATTGAAATCATGACAATAACCTTTTCAACGTTACGAATTTGTTTTACAATACATCAGTTCATGAGTAAACAGTACCTTTAAACAGTATGGAATATTTTGCAAAATGTAGTTTAGAACAGTTGACTGAAGTAAGTGGGTATATTTACACTCGTGAGTCTAAACTTTTGAAATGAAGTATATAAACACAGAATCCATGAAAGTCAAGAATGCTGAGCGGAAGAGGTGAGTTTTAAGGAGAGATTTAATCATGAGGTGGATACGCAGATACCAATCTCCATAGTCAAATGGCCGTGTTGAAGTGGCGACGACAGGGTACTCGGGACGTGATACGACTATAAGGGTTTAGGGCCTTACAATTATATACAGCTTAGGCTGTATTCTGTGAGAATTTTGGGAGAATACACGTTTCACTTCACAAGGGTTATTAAGGACAGCATTGACCAGATGACCATTGAAAAGGATGGACTTGGAGCAGTATATGTATATACATATCAGTATAAGGGTCATTTTCAAAATTGGTAGGATTTTCAATTATTTATTACAGTAAAATCAAACTTCTCAAAATTGATTTAATTTTTATTCAAATAAAACCTCAAACACTTAATTATTAAAAAATACAAACATGCAGACTGAAATGTACTAATTGACCTTTTAATTGATACATAAGTAATTAAAAGGGTGGGGGACTGTCCTGACCGTTACCACTTCTTAATCGGAATAAGGATATTGAAATATAATTCATAAAAATCTTTTAAAGATGGCAGACACAGCTTTTACACAGACTTAATCAAACTTGAAGGTAAAAACTATCATCATTAATCTTGAAAGTGTTATTTTGTATCTTTCATTTATTTACCACAAAATGATAGCATTTTTCTAAAATATTATTATGTATGTCGCTTTCAACAGGTGAAATTGTCTAAAATAAACATCAGCTAAATAGAACATCTTTTGATGCTACATAAAGAGAGCTGTTTCATGTATTATCGTGAATTAATTAGAGCAGTCAATTAACACCAGTAATGGTTAGGACAATAGTGGTAACGGTTTGGACAGGAATGGTAACGGGCTGGACATAAGCCTTCAACAATTTAATTCAACCTAGAAACAGGTAACGTGAAAGGAAAAAATGATGTCATTTACTTGAACTGCTAACCCTATTTTGGACAGACAGTGAAATGTGTAATAGAAATTGTTACTCGCAACAAATATGACATGTTTTCTTCCATGCTGTGGTAACGGTTTGGACATTTGTTATATCAATATAAAACTTGTGAATGATTTAGGCTTTTGAATAAAAACAAATTGTAGCTTCTAAAGAATAGAAAAACATACCTGTCTAGATTGAAAATCACTTATAATCTAAAGGAAAGTGCAATTTGGGAACGAAAATTGAATGAATAGTAACGGTTGTGACACCCCTCTAAAAAGTTGCAAAAGATTAAATTCTGAAAGGTACTGCAACAACTATGATACTGTACACATGGTCATGCTACACAAGCCACTCCATAGATATCATTTTGCTGTTGATATTATGATTTTAAAAAATCTTTAAAGGTTGTAATACAATTAAGTTGTTTACCGTTACTACATTTTGTCCTAACCGTTACCTTTAATTCATAAAGACTATAGATCTTATAGAAAATAGAAACTTAACGTGATAAATTCGTTTTGGTTTTTATTATTAAAAGCAGATAGATAAGTAAATAGAAATTTATTATCACACCATAGAACATATTCTTCAAAATTGAAATTTATTAAAGAAATGTCCCGACCGTTACTATTATTTGTCCAAACCGTTACTAGAGACTGTGTTTTCTATGGTACTACATCAAAACTCCTTTGAACAGTACAAGTCCATGCTTAAACTATCTTAACTCTTAAAGAAATTATAAATTTGTTATACTTCAAATATTAATGCATAACTTTTTTGAAATGCAAACAATTTAGTCCTGACCGTTACAAGGACTGTCCAAACCGTTACTTTGCAGAATGGTAACGGTTTGGACAGTAACGGTCAAGACAATTTGTAGATAATCTTAAATAAAAAAATGAATGATCCCTAAAAGATTTCACAGGACATGGCTTCCACCTCTTCCATTTCTGGGCAACATATCCATTGAATTTTTTTTAAAAAAAAGAGAGATATATTTGACACAAAATACATTGGTAACGGTCTGGACAATTACGGTTGACACATAACATTTATACTTATTTGACGGTGTCAATTTTCTCCAAAATGTATTGAATCTCTTTATTTCATCTGCTGTCACATTCACAGGGGCTAGCTCAAACAGACACAGGAAGTAGTATTACAATCCAGCTCCAGGGAGAAATTATTGCAGGAATTTCATACAATGGTAACAGTCAGGACATAGCATGTTACAATGTATAGAAAACAACTTTTTTAAGTTAAAAAGAAATTAAATTAAGTCTGGGTATGCTTGATCAATCCTAATTGGCATAGTATGAATTAGTTTGTTTATTTGCATTTATATTTACATTATTTGTGAGCATTGTTATTAGGACCTTCACCTCTGGAAGGACCAAATCGGCCAATTTTGACCCCAAAATGTGGTTAAGTATGAATTTCAAAATTACAAGACTAATGATATACCACAGTTACTGACTAGTAAACATCTAAATATGTTTTCTAGACCAAAAAAATCCTTTTAAACTCACAGATTTTTTTTATTATTTCGAACAGACAGAAAATACTTCCAATTTTGAAAATGACCCATAACTGACACTGTCGGGAAATAACTGTACAATTATGTAAAACTTAATAATTACCTCTTGGCGGCGTGTGGTCCTGTGAGCAGAGCTTAGGTCACAATCAGTTGAAGTTAAGCAGAGTGGGCGCGGAGAGTCATTTGATGGGAGACAGTTTTTGGCAGCTTAACTCCGAAGAGTTCAGTCCTGCCCCAAAGCGAAGGATATGTGACACATGTGGTCTCACTGTATGCGTGTGAGTTTTTTCAAAATTCCACTAGGCTAAAAATTGGGTAAGTGGTATGATACGATGGTAGTCTGAATTTGACCCTTGAGCGCTCGACAGGCGACTGGTTGTATTCTCCACAGGGAGTGTTTTGTACTCGTTGACCAGGGGTAATACGTCAGTGCTTTGAGCATGCAATGTGCATGGATAAATGCGCTATATAAATGGACTATTATTATTATTATTAATAATATCGCATGATTATTGAAATGTTCACAGAAGGCCACGGCGGAGCAATATACACACGCTGGGGAAGGCACATCTGCCCAGAAGGGTCCGACATAGCCTACACAGGTGAGAAGTGGTCATAAGGCCTTGACTTATCAGATGATGTGCATGGATAAGCCCGTGTTTGTTAACATCATCTGATAATGTTTGTTAATATCACTATCGTCTTCATCTTGTGTATTTGAATATATTTCCTGCCTGAACGATTCACAAATTAATCGACTGTAACGCAACAACGATTCTATTTCGTTATAATATGATACCGTATTCTTTAAACAATGTTTTTGTCAGATCTGTACATAATCGCATTAGTGCGTTAATGAGTTGGCGTCGATGCTGCTTGTAAACTGCAATTCGGTCAGATCAAAGCCCGTAAGGGACTCATGAAGATCCGGGTTAGAACTGGTCTTCAGCAACCCGTGTTTGTCGTAAGAGGCGACTAACGGGATCGGGTAGGCAGGCCCTCTGACTGGAGTGGTTGACACCTGCCAGCGTATCCCACTTGTGTTGGTCAATGCTCTTGGTGTCAATCACTGATTATCTGCTCCAGACGCGATCATTTACAGATCGCCGTCATAGAGCTGCAAATTCCTGTGTGCGGCATTAATCACTAAACAAACAAACGAAAGCCCGAAATGATGCGATCCTAAGCACATTTGCGGTTTTATGAAACCCAAGATCACGTATGTTGTTCTGTCCAACTTAGAAACATGATAATGGCAAATATATTATTCAAACCCTCAATAACAGGATGCAGCTTTGCACAGCAACAGGTATTGCCTCAAACTCCCTTAGTATCACACAGTAATCGGTATCTTTACAGGTTTCACCACTGGAGGATATTCTGGTCACTCGGGAGCAGGAACCAGTGTCTTGTGCGCCCATTCCGCGCCACAGTTCGACAGAACCTTCAGCAGGACCACAAGCAAGGTCAACTACTTGTACGGAGCGGAGTATGAAGAGATCTGGATGACTCGTCTTGTCGACCAGGATGCGCCATGCGTGGTGTGCCGGAGTGCTTCTCGAACAACCGCCATCTTGGTTCCCGGACGACACGAGTGTATGGAAGGTTGGAACACTGAGTACTATGGCTTCCTGGTCGGCCCAAAACACGATGATGCTGGTAACAGTGACTACATCTGTCTGGATTCAGATCCAGGGTCTATAGAAGGGGGGTACCAGGACCATGATGGCCATTGGTTGTTCAACGTGGTGTTCAGCTGTGGAGCTCTTCCCTGTCCACCGTACAAGAACAACTACTTTGTTCCTTGTGCTCTTTGCACTAAATAGAAACTCGATTGACATCATTGGGGCCATCATTTCAAATATTGGTGGCTGCTATAATCTTTTTGTCAAGATAAACAAAGCTGCTACCAACTACTATTTCCATTACACCTAGCATATCCAGAAAACAAAGTATTTGAGGGATGTTTTTCAAACACAACCTTGTGAAAGTCCCACACCTGGGGTTGGGTTGCGTTACTCTAAATTATATTCTGTAAGTCAGATATGCTGGAATCAATGGCAATAAACAATGCTTCCCAGAAAGCTGTCTGTCGAGTTCCTGTCTAAAAGTGTATTTACTAAATCTTGTTAGCTTGTAGTCGTAACTAGAGTGAGTGAACTTAGTTTCACGCCGCTTTTAGCAATATTCCAGCAATATCACGGCGGGGGCCCCAGAAATGGGCTTCACACATTGTATCCATGTGGGGAATCGAACCCGGGTCTTCGGCGTCATGAACGAACGCTTTAACCATTAGACTACCCCGCCGGCCTGGTGGTCACTGGACATGAGTTCTCAGTGTTGGGTGACAGCTCAGTAATTGACATATTCACAGCATCTGGAAGACGTATATGCATTCTGGAACATTCAGCACATATTAATCTCATTACCAAAACGTAGATGGGTCGTGTGAAATGGTCTAAACATCACACTAACCGTTTAATACTTTGGCAGAGCTGGAATATATTTTATCAATACGGGGACATAAACCAATGCTTCTACTCAGGCAACCCCTAGAGTTTTAATGACGAATGACGAATCATAGGTCATCATATTTGTGGTAATAGGTGACGTCACGACACCCATGAGTACTAGGGCCCCGTTTCACAAAGCGATCGCAGTGCTAAGGTGATCGTAACTCATATACTATAACATAGGCCTACGGCAGTCGTAACGCTATGATCACTTTGTGAAACGGGCCCCAGGTCCTTGGCATCAAAATATGTACTCGCCATTAGAGGTCCCTGGAGGTCGGACTCAGTGACCAGACACAATACTCCGCGTACGTGGAACTTTGCTCATAGTATCAATCATCGGTTTGACCTGTCGGAAAGCATTTCAACAGGCTCATATTTTGACATACACACAAAGAGTATCCGTGATTGAAATTATAGTCTCCAGTATGGAATCCAAGAAGGGACATTGTCGCTATGTCGCATTGTCGCCCTCTCAAAAACAAGTAAAGTGAGGCAAAAAAAACCAAAACGCGACGCGTGACATCGTGATAACGCGACACTTCGCCCATTTGTTGCTTTGTCGGGATGTCGCGTGTCGCGTTTTGGTTAATTGTGCTTGTATTTGAGAGGGCGACAACGCGACAATGCGACAGCGCGACGAAGTCCCTTCCAGGATTCCATACTCAAGTGACTTTTCATATTCATTTTATTTTACATATTGTGAGTGAGTGAGTGAGTGAGTGAGGGCATATGGTTTTATGTCGCTTTCAGCAATATTCCAGCAATATCACGACTGGGGACACTAGAAATGGGCGTCACACGTTGTACCCATGTGGGGGATCGAACTCGGGTCTTTAATCACAGGTTACCTCGACGCCACAATGACAATATGCACGGAGCTGCATCATATTTGACACTTCTCACGTATTGACGGCCAAAGCTTTGCGTCATAATGACTTTGGTTTGTTGTTTAACGCCGCACTCAGCAGATTTTTCAGTAATATTGCTGCGGTATGTAAATAATCGTTTCTGGACATTATAATCGTTTCGTGCAGGAAATAATAATTAAGAGAATGATAATAATGAGAATATTTATAACGCGCCTTTTCTCTGCTTGATACCCTGCTCAAAAGCCAACAATCTGATCATTTTTAGCCAGGATAACCCAAGCTGTCTGTTAGGGGCGAGAAGGTTAATAGTCTCACGACCGGGTACCCATTTTCTGCTGGGTGGACAGAGGCATTATTGAACAAACTCACTTGCCTAAGGTGAGACCACATGTATGTAGGACTGAACTCCTAGAAACTCTCAGGAGTCAAGCTGCCAAACACGGTCACCCATCCAAGGATTCTCCGCGCCCAACGTTGCTTAACTTCAACTGATTGTGACCTGAGCGCTATGCACAGGACCACACACCATCATGAAAGAACTAAGAAGTCCAGTTGCTCCATATTCATGTGGAATCCCATCCTTATGTCTACCTGTACATATTCTCGTAGTGGATAGTAGTAGGAGTATTGGGGGTACGTGATCACTTTCAAGAAAGGTCGCTGTAAAGGTTTATTTCATTAATAAAGCTTTGTCAGGCCCTTAGATCTCGCCCCCATCGCGTCTACTACTTTTGAATCCCCAGTTAACTTCCCGACCCGACGTGCCACTTCCTGATCACGTGATAGCTCTATGTCTTGTGAAACAGTTTAATGTTTTGCACCCCTTGTTCTATGTACTTTTTTTCTCGTCTTCACCGATAGCAGACTTACGAGACTTGAGCCGGATTTCTTGTTTCATCTTACGGTACTTGTCGAGTTCAGAGAGGATTGAACGAGATTCCTCCTCTGAGATCTTACTGTCAGTGAGTGCTGTAGAAATACGCTCACTTACCGTGTTCAGCTTTGCTTCAGCCAGAATCCTGATCTCGTCGTGTTTCAATGCCTTCCGGTGCAGTCAGCTGACACAAACTTAAACACCAATCCAGCCAACCCTGACACCCAGCTGTTATTTCAATGCCTAGCACTGCGGGTGCGGCTATGATGGTGGCCAACAACCCCACACCTACTGCCCCTAACCCCATACTGCTGGCCATAAGGGCGGTATCAACACCACTGACCATACTGGTGGCCATAAGGGCGGGTATCAACGCTTTAACCACTAGGTTACCAACTGCCTGAGTTCACGCCGCTTTTACATTGAAAGCTCTATGGTACTTCTTATACAATGCTGCCCGTGTGTCGCGATCTTGTTTTAGTTGGCGTTTTATGTCACATAACTGTTTCAAGCGGAACCCGTCTACGGTTTCCAGGGGTTTGGGACGTCCTCTGCGACTGGGTATAGCCCCATCCTGTGTGCATATAATATATCTTATGAGATATTTTTTAATTGGGCTTCAGTTAATGGCCGCTTAATGTACTTGAAGCTTATAAGGCTTAGATCCCTGTGCAGGGAAATAGGCGAGAGGCTGATAGGTAACACTGAGGCCACACTAACCCCCTTGGAGTATAAAGAGGGTATATTATCCTTTCGGGAGTCCATTTGTATAATGAAACGGTGGCGGTGTATTTCGGATCTGGAATGAGGGTCCAGGGGGTCTATCCCAGGATATTGTCACCCCAGGTAAAAATTGGAGTTCTATTGTTTCAGGTCGGAATACCCGGTGTATGCTGAGATAGAATTCTATGATGAGTGTGATCTCTCGGCTCGCAACCATAAGCCCCGTTTGGGAAGCGGGACCGTGAAACCTTAACTCCCCCTTCAAGGGCGACTCTAACATGTTGCCCGTGTAACCCGGTGTTAGCTTAAGAAGTATACCAGGGCCCGGAATGAAATCCCCAGGCAAGATACCGTTGTTCCTAATTTCGGAGATATGCCCCTCTTGGTTTAACGAGATATAAGGTGAGGTGAGGGTCATGTTGATCAACCATTTGGGCTCTCTAAGGGCGTCTGCCAGAGGCTGCCGCACGTACACACCGTTTCTTAAGCGTAGGACGTACCAGGTGTATTCCTCGCCAGGCCGATCGAACTCCATTGTGCCTCCTAGACCCCCGAGTGTGATTTTGGGCAGATGATCGGTCATTGCCGCCCGCCTATACACGTTGTCCTTCAAGTGTAGGACGTACAAGGCGTCTTCCTCGCCAGGCTGGTCGAATCCCTCCGTGTCCCCTGGATCGTTAAGTGTGGCGTTGGGCGGATGCCGATTGGCCATTGCTCTTATACTATTACGATATAGTTTCCAATTGTTTTTCTGATAATAGTTCAGGGGTGCACTTCACCCCCATGAAGTGTATGTTGTCGGGTAGGAAGATCTTGGATAGTGATATCGTAGCTTCCACGGTCACGGTGACCCCCTGCAGACTGGTGTGGGAGTCGACACCTACCCGAACGTAAACAGTGCAAACGTGATACTGGTGTTGTTTCCCACAGCGGAGTTTGATCCCCTTTACGATTTCGACTTCATCCGGCGATGGTTCCCCTAGGTAGACTTTGATGACCAGCGTGGAGTTCGCCGGTAGGCTCGCCAGGATGTTGGTCACGCCAGTGAATTTAGATACCAACTGCAATGTCACGTCTTGCACTCCCGTTTACTTGATAGCATGTGGGCTGCCATACTGGCGACTTGGCTAATGACTACGCTACGTCTCTGCGCCGGGACGTTGTTTTCTTTGTTCTCCGTGAACACGTAGGGGGAGCCAAGCCTAATGTTGAGAAACCAGTCGACTTAAGCGGACAACAACACCCACTTGTTGTCGTCGGTGATCACGAGCGTATATGGTTTGTTTCGGGCGACGATCGTGCTATCAACATCTTCTAAGGCATCCTGAGACATCTACTATGTCACCTAGGGTTCTACCGATGGAGGGGACTTCAATGCGTTTGTAAATGTTGTTTTTCAGTTGCAAGGCGTACAGTTTACCATCTACTCCGGGGTCGTCGAATCCGCGTGTGTCCCCGAGGTCGGAGATCCCCGCATTGATGCATTTTTTCAACCTCATCCCGGGGCCTTGTGCGCTAGTCATTTTATGTGCAGCGTTATGCTGAGGTATCCTATATTCACAGGGTTATGATTTATATCTAACACCGATATTATCAGCTCAGGGATGTTGCCCCGGGTTAACCTCTTATACTGCCGCGGTGAAAACGCCTCGGTTCTGCCGTCGTTGTATTTCTCCGTTTTCACCGGTACGGCTCTCAGTATCGTGGAAGGGTGACCCCCTTGAATGTTGTCCGTTGTGCTCAGCTGGCTGAGATGAATGCACAGCTCTCGGTACGGTACTAGGTTGGGTAACTTTGTACCTGCGACGGTAGTTGTTGGTTTTATCTCGTCAGGCGACATACCGAGTGTCCTCGCCAATGGTCGACCGAGCCTCAAGGAGTTTCTTCCGTTGTTGATTAACACCACTGTGCCGTTTGAGTCGTTCATCTTGAGTTCGGCTCCAAGGGGCTTGAAGACCTCGTCGCTTAGCGAGCACACGCTGTAGTAGCCGTCAGTTATCTGATTACGGGCGCCACTGACGAACAGCTTGTTGTTGTTGACGTTGATGTTAGTCCATCGTGGTAGGTAGGTGATATCGCAGAGTGCGACTTTGAGTTGACCCGACGTGTTATCGATCGCGTTCATCAGCTGAACGGCCTCGCGCTCGTTATTCCTAGAAGTGTTACAAGAGATGACCAACCCGGGAAACGATCGACTGAATGGGTAGCAACCCGATGCTACCTCAGGTGGTGTCGGACCATCAACCATGAAGCCACTTGGCTCACTGGCAAGAAACCAGCCGACGCTATCAAACTAAAATCAATAGTGGCTGAGTCGGCTGCACCATTGCGTGGGAAGGAGAAACAGATACCCGATAGGGTCCTCGTGAGGTACCTATACCAGCCGGGGGAGCACGAGGGTGATAGTCGTAAGCGAGCCACCGATCCGATATGGTCAGTCAAAACTTACAACATAGATAAAGTGGACATCAAAGCCGATGAGCCGAACTTGTACTACTTGAGAGATGGGCCAGGGAGAGGGCTCGTTAGAGAGGAATTATTGATCACACCGCCGAACTTGTACTACCAGCCGGAGAGAGATGGGCCAGGGCGGGGAGCCAGAGGGTCAGTCTCATAGATTAGAGAGGAATTATTGATCATCACCGTACGGCACAATGTTACCTCCTGTCAACGCGGCATAGTGGTACAGTAGTGGCATGCGGGGTCGGGAAGTTAACTGGGATTCAAAAGTAGTAGACATGATGGGGGCGAGATCTAAGGGCCTGACAAAGCTTTATTAATGAAATAAAGCTTTACAGCGACCTTTCTTGAAAGTGATCTCGTACCCCCATTACTTCTACTACTGAAGACCAATTCTAACCCGGACCTTCACGGGTTAGGTTTTAGGAACGTATCAGAATGTATATGATACTAATCCCAATCACGCTGACAGAAAGAAGGGAAATGTAGAGCCCTGTATAAGGTTAAGTACGTTATCTGAAGAATAATTGTTTTCTCGTAAAATGCATATAATTGATTTTAAATGAGCAGGTAACAGGATGTAACACAACATTAACCCAACGCAAAGTTAAAAACGCGGGTGTGTATCGGTGTAGGTGACTAGCACATTTCATTTTCACCCCTTTTCACAAGAATTACAGTGGACATTTAAAAAACTTCGAGAACAAAACAAAACAAAAAAAGGGGGGGGGGGATCGCCGCACACCCCTCTGGATCCGCCTATGACACTGATATGTACATTTATTTGGAGATCAGTTTTTTTCTTGTAAAAGAATGCACGTAATTGTTTTAAAATGTACACGAAAAAGATGTAACGCACCACTGACATTCTTGGAAATTAGAGTTGTATATTTCACAGTTTCCTAGTATCAAGGGACTTCAAACCCTTTTTTTGATTATCACACGTTCTCATATGAACCTTGAAATCAATCCATTCTGTGTCAAAATATAGCAGTTTTTACGAGGTGTTAATTAATTTTAAATAAGTGAGTGAGTGAGTTTAGTTTTACGCCGCTTTGAGCAATATTCCTGCAACATCACGGCGGGCTTCACACATTGTACCCATGTGGGGAATCGAACCCGGGTCTTCGGCGTGACGAGCGAACGCTTTAACCACTAGGCTATCACACCGCTTCTAATTATAATAAGATGGTGAAGATGGGAAATAAGTTACAGCTAACTGTCCAGTTTTCAAAAATATACTGACCATTCAAATCATGGAAGCACGTGGTACATGTGTTTTTAATCGAGTATTTCGTTCTTGACACATAAAATTGGGTGAATGGATACATCTTTTGCATGTATCATATACATGTACATCATAACATATATCAATTTCTTGGAGATGATATTTCTTTTAGCGGTATGAGTGTATTCGTGTAACATTGTTTACGAAAAAACGTAGTGTTTATAAACAATGCAGAGTTATCACTGAAGTAAGCTCTGTTGAAGTGAAAGGCAAGACTGTGAGCAGTGACACGGAGATTGGATCCTGCAGATGACGTCATGGGTGACCTGTGGCCAGCATGACGAGAGATGGGATAAGATATGATACTGATGTCAATATCCATGCCAGGAAGGACATGAGAACTTCGGAGTACTGCAGATTCAATATTGGTGAGGAATCCAGTCCTAATGTCAACAACCAGTTTCAGTTACCCGCTGAACCTACTAATATTCTATTACGTATATACAACTACTGCTACTCCCCCTATTACTACTACTACTGCTGCTCCCCTTACTACTACTACTACTACTACAAAATTACTACTACTACTACTACTACAAAATTACTACTACTACTACCACTACAACAAAGCTACTACTACGACTACTACTACTACAAAGCTACTACTACTACCGTAACGTCTACTACTCACTCACTCTACTTCAACTTCTACTACGTCCACTACGCCTACAATGTTTGCTGCTACTACTACTACTACTACTACTACTACTACTACTACTACTACGTCTACTACTACGTCTATTACTCACGCTCTCTACTTCATTAACTACGTCCGGGGCGGTGGGATAGCCTAGTGGTTAAAGCGTTGGCTCGTCACGCCGAAGGCCCGGGTTCGATTCCCCACATGGGTACAATGTGTGAAGCCCATTTCTGGTGTCCCCCGCCGTGATATTTCTGGAACATTGCTAAAAGCGGCGTAAAACCCAACTCACTCACTCACTCAACTACTACGTCCACTACGTCTACTATGGCTGCAGCTACTACTACTACTACTTAGTCTACTACTACCTCTCCTTCTACTACTACGTCTACTGCTGCAACTCCTACAACCGTGAAGAATGAACCAGTGGCCTTATCCTCTAAGGAACCGCAATTCCCTGTGCACCATTGAGACCCTTGAGCATATCTGAAACCTGTTTTCGTGGGTTCGAGTCCCGGTTTGCCGTGACCCACATCAACCGGAGCTGTCCTCACATATCTGTTTGACAGACCGTGATGAAATTGAAATGCTGTTTAACCCTCATCTCTCACTTACCACCACGGTGACAATTCTGATTGTGAATATTTTGTGTAATAGGATATTGCACTGTTTTCACAAGTACTGAGGACTTTTAATGTTGTGTCAAGTACTGAATTTAATATTAGACTTTTCATGTTATACATCGACCGAGTTTGTCAAACATGGCCATTTAATATTGGAGGTTGTTCATTATAGATGTACGGGCGCACTAAATATATAAGGAGACAAAAAAACATACAGGCCTATGTATTTACCGTGATCTCATTTGCTCAGATGACTGGACAGTATGTGTGTTCAGATACATATTTCATTTCTTACATTCTCAACTAGATGAGAACTGCCAGTCGACAATTTATCGTCTTTATCTAATTCTTCCAAAGTACATTGATGTCATGTTTACCACTGAGTTCTATCAGAAACAGCATGCATGTCCATTTGATCATCTCTGGCACATGAGAGAACTACGGGCATCAGTGATAAATGAGATGAATTATATCACATCCCTATCCCTGTTTAAGTGGCATCATCTGCGTATAGTGTATAGTGAACCCATCCCCACATGTTTGGGCTATGGAATACATGTGCCCCTTGCAAACAGTTCTGACTATCATCGTCTGTAGTTGGCGTTGGTAAAACTCATGATGGCGTGTTTCTGTAGATTTCTGGCGTTCATGGTTGTCTGCATCATGGTGGCGTCAGTTTCAACCGCTCCGAGTGCAACTGAAATGAAGACCAATTTGCAGGATATGCAAGCAATGGCGGAGAACCTGACAGAGCGGATGGGGGCAATGTCGGCCATATTTAGTGAGAACGTGAGACTGATGAACAGCGCTGAGATCCGGTTGCGTCACATGATGAGTGTGGAGGGTGGACATTGGGACAACAAAACTAAACATGGTAGGTACAAATCTCTGACATTACGTCCTCGGGGTCTTAGCTATAGGTAAAGAGAGAAACGCTCCCACAAGACTTTTCGCAATCCTTCATGGTGAGCAATAGTCCTGCAGCTTCTGGCTTTGTAGGTGGGCGGTTAAGGCAGGGTTTTGTCAAAATTGTGCACTTTGGGTAAAAGCACCCAACTTGGCATACTTATAAATCGAACAATTGCAAACATTGTTGGACATGCATCCAGCTCAGCTGTGGCCCCCTAGTGGCAGCAAACCAAGATGACCGCCAATTTGAAATTTTCGGAATGGTTCAATAAATAAGCGTCCCTAGATTGGTGCTTTTAAATCAAAGTGCACACGTTTTGTCTTAAAAGTCCCAATATGAAAGTTGTTTGAACAAGATTACATTCGAGTCCTAAGTAAAGTTATCTAAATATTTTTATTGTGGAAATGAAGAGAACATTTCAGATATGAAAGCGGTCACCTGAAATCATTGCTATTTGAATTAACAATTGCCAATGATACAGACAGACTCGTAAAAGTGAATCTTATTAGCGGACAGCTCTAAAGAATATGGAATTGGTTTCGTCGCTTTTACATTAAAGGATCGGCAATAGACACAAGACACCAGCCACAATTCTAATTGACGAATTGACTTTCCCTTGCATGTGTTTGCGAAAGATGGCACCAGAATGGAATGATAATGGTAATATATGACGTTGGATCTATTTGAATTCGTTCGACGAAAACTCACATTTCATATGTTTATGGACCCGTGAAGGTACGGGTTAGAATATTGATCTTCCGTAACCCATGCTTGTCGTAAGAGGCGACTAACGGGATTGGGTGGTCAGGGTCGCTGACTTGGTTGACACATGTCATCGGTTCCCAATTGCGCAGATCGATGCTCATGCTGTTGATCACTGGATTGTCTGGTCCATACTAGATTATTTCCAGACCGCCGCCATATAGCTGGAATATTGCTGAGTGCGGCGTAAAGCTAAACTCACTCACTCATTCATATGTTTATGGAAATAGTTTTGGAACAAGTCTCAGAACCCGATATCGTTAGTCGCATCTTGCAGATAGCCACTTCCAAGCCGGACACGGTAAAAGGATATAACCAATGTTTTGCTTTATTGATTTATATACCTACCGTTTCCCTTTTTGGTTTATGTACAAGTAAATACTTTATGTTGCTTTATTGGTTTATATCAAGTATATACTTAATGTTTCTCTATAGGTTTATATACAGTTATATACCCAACGTTGTTATATTGGTTTATGTACTTAATATACACTTAGTAAATACTTAATGCTGCTTGATTGGTTTATATCAAATATATACCTAATGTTGTTTTATTGGTTTATAGGGCGGTGGAGTAGCCAAGTGGTTAAAGCGTTCGCTCGTTACGCCGAAGACCCGGGTTCGATTCCCCACATGGGCACAATGTGTGAAGCCCATTTCTTGTGTCCCCCGCCGTGATATTGCTGGAATATTTCTAAAAGCGTCGTAAAACTAAAGTCACTCACGCCGTTATGGTTTTATATGCAAGTATATACTTAATATTGTTCTATTTGTATATACATGTATGCAAGATTATGCCTAACGTTGTTTTATTGGTTTGCAGGTGGTGCAATCTACACACGATGGGGACATGACATGTGCCCGGAAGGATCCTATCTTGCTTACAGTGGTAAGAATTAAAACATATACTTCCCACAAAATACCAGGGATCAGATGGTTTGAGTGTAGCTGTCGTTTAGATGTACCTATCTACTTACATCGTACTGCTGTGATACTGCTGAAACTATCATATACTCATGATAAAGTCACAATTGTACAGTCGACTTTTAGCATGGATTTCTTGTAGGATGTGGAAAGGGTTTTGTCGCATCCATCTTTGTACAACACGGTAGATACAGCATCTAAACCCAACGTCAAATCGCATATTTCTGTTTCTGGTGCACACATAAATATGCGCTATTATGTGAACTCACAGTTGAACTAAGCACATGCTTAAAATGCTTCTTAAATAGACCTCAGTGTTTCAAATGGCACGAATGTTTAGTAAATCGAAAACTGTGTTTCGGTCAAAAAACACTGTACGATAACCAAAATGAATACCTTTAAATACCGGCACTATGCGCCTTGCTTGAAAGCAAGGTGCCCTGAGACGGATGTTTACCTAACACTTTCTGTGGTTGTCATGGACTGGGAGCTGTCTGGGCAACAACAGGGATTGACTGTGCGGCAGTGGCGGTAGTGCCTTGGTGTGGGGTGATATCGCACATGGCTAGTGAACTCATTTTGTTATTATGAACAATCATTTAATGTGAAACAGCTCAGCATCTGAAGGTTGTAGTGATCGGTGCATTCTAAAACTCGTTTCACAAAGCGATCGTAGTGCTACGACTGTCGTAAGTCTATGTTAAAGTATAGGGGTTACGATCCCTTAGCGCTACGATCGCTATGTGAAACGGGGCCCTTATCTTTTGAGATTTTACAGCACGAGAATTGTTTTCTATGTTCACAAAGGGTGTCAGTATTCAGTGTTTGAAGTCAATGATTTATTATCAACAACATATGAATCTGTTCATGTGTATCTGCACCGGAGGCTGGATTAAGATAGTTTGTAAGCAATATTCTTAACGTGTGGCAGCACTGGATGAGTCTCAGGGATTTAGACCCGAGTTCCGGCGTCCAATGGTTGCCTTGAACATCATCACAACATGAGATGGCGGTTTGCTCTTTCTGGTTGTTACATACATGAGTTGAGTTGAGTTGAGTTGAGTTGAGTTGAGTTGGGCTTAACGTCACATCGGCACTGTTCCAGCCATATAGTGACGAGATCAAGTTTGCATTCCTGAACATTTTAAGTCCAATGTCCAAATGAGTTTTATTTTACAAACATATATATATTCACATTACATAGTTACAATTTATGATACAGGTCAACTTCCTTGAGGAAGTTAACAATAAGATGCCTGCCCACGCGCGGGAAAGTCAAATAAATGAATGGGTACCAACAGGTTATTGAGATAGAACTGCAATCTTTACTCGATTTGAAGAATACTCTCTACATTATTTGTATGATGTGATGTGTTTCTCCATAATATTTGTATGATGTGACGTGTTTCAGGTTTCATGGTTGGAGGGCATCATTCCCATGTTGGAGCGGGTTCCAATATCCTGTGCACTCATCCCGAGCCGCAGTTTGACAGAACCTTCGCCAGAAACACGAGTTTGCACAATTTTCTGTACGGAGCAGAGTACGAAGGGATCTGGAAAACGGATCTCACGAACCAGGACGCTCCATGCGCTGTTTGCATAAGTGCCACCGGAACATCAAGCATCTTGGTTCCTGGAAGACACGAGTGTATGGAAGGTTGGAACACGGAGTATTGGGGATTTCTGGTTGGTCCAAAACACGATGATAAGGGGAATTCTGAGCATATTTGTCTTGATTCAGAACCAGCCGCCATTGAAGGCGGCTACCAAAGCCATGACGGACGTTGGTTGTTCAATGTCGAGAGTCAGTGTGGAGCTCTGCCTTGTCCCCCGTACAAAAGTGGGTACTTTGTTCCTTGTGTGCTCTGTACTAAGTGAAACGAATTTACAAAGACGCTTCAGAGCAAATGGCCACCTAAACTGTATTTGACACTATCCTTGATAAACTGGCATTTGGGACACCATGTATAACATACATTATCCTTGGTAAACTGATACTTGTTGTACGTCGTATATTGCATACTATAACTGTGTTTTAAGAGTTCATTGTAATATACTCTCCTAAAAATGAAACGCAAAGGTATAGTTTTTCATGAATATAATCTGCTAACGTTTTTTCTATTGTTTCCAATACGCTGAATACAAGCATATTAAAGAATATATACATGCACATTGGTATAAATAACAGCTTGTGGGCTCAACAGAGATATGATACATTAAATATAAATATCAACAGCAATATGTTTTGGTTAATTAGTTATTTAAAATTAAATACAGGGATGAGAGGAAGCCATTTGGTTGAGAAGATTTCAAACTTATTGTTTCTTCTGGAAATGAATTTTTCAGTGGGGAATATATCTTTCAATATCCGTAAATAATTATCAACTTTTGAAATTATGTTTTTCAAAGAGCAAGCATAAATAACTCATAAGAGTTCCCTACAACCCCGTTGATTTGTGAAGAATTCAGTGAGATGTCCATTCTGAATAACACATAAAGATGTGTCATAAGTTAATCTGCTAACTTTGATTAAATTAAATTTGAATAAATTCTGGACCAGTTGCAGCCAAATTACACAGTATAAAAGATCATGTTTGTTAACATGTACGTTATTGCACCACTGGACCCTCCGACGTCGATGTAGTCGTCGCAGAAAAGGGCCAAAGTAGAGTCAACTAGTAATTGACTACGAATGGTTTTCGCCGACATTCCTCTCAAACTAGGCACTGCACTTGCAATTGCTGTGACAGTTCGATTCCGGAAATGAAGTACCCGGATGTACCTTTCCTGCGCTGCATTGGTAATCCGAGGTCTACCACTTCGAGATCGCTCTTTCGAAGAAATGGTTTGTTGATATCGGTCCAATGTACGACTGATGGTACTCTGGTGAACATTTATTTACGTCGTAGGTGACGTGCAATGGCAGAATGTTTCGATTTACAGCAGTGAGTCGCAACATAACGATATTCTTTCCTTAAGCTAAAAAATGCCAGTGACCGTCGAAAAGCAAAACGGCCTTATATAGGCAATGACCCTGTTCAATATTCCTCAGAACTGCACGAGCATATTGCGAACCACTTGTTCACCATGACACTTTCATGCAAGTTTTCACTTTCGAACGTAAACGTGCATTGAAGTTCCCGAAGATGCGTTTTTGCGCTGTGCATTCGTCCCGTATACACAAACCAAAATACAATGGCGAAAATATAACAATCAAAAACTAATTTTGAAAAATATTTGCAATTTCACATATCCATATCACTTATGCGTTTCTTGTTTGGGAGAGTGTAGTATCATGTTGTAAGAATTCACTTTTGTGACACATTTTTTGAAATATGATGCTCAGTTAAAAGAAACACCGCCATGTAATAAAAGCCTTAATGTGGCCAATACATGTTTTGTCATGCAATCATAGATTACGTAGATCATGCTGAAAATGTGTCAGCAATAATTGACATAACAATCACCATCGTCACGAACAAGGTTATGAGAGCATAAATAGTCACCATCGTCACGAACAAGGCTATGTGAGCATAAATAGTCACCATCGTCACAAACATGGCTATGTGAGCATAAATAATCACCATCGTCACGAACAAGGCTATGTGAGCATACATAATCACTATCGTCACGAATAAGGTTATGTGAGCATAAATAATCACCATCGTCACGAACAAGGCTATGTGAGCATAAATAATCACCATCGTCACGAACATGGTTATGTGAGCATAAATAATCACCATCGTCACGAACAAGGCTATGTGAGCATAAATAATCACCATCGTCACGAACAATGCCATGTGAGCATAAATAGTAGCCATCGTCACGAACAAGGTTATGTGAGCATAAATAATCACCATCGTCACGAACAAGGTTATGTGAGCATAAATAATCACTATCGTCACGAACAAGGATATTGGAGCATAAATAATCACCATCGTCACGAACAAGGTTATGTGAGCATAAATAATCACCATCGTCACGAACAAGGCTATGTGAGCATACATAATCACCATCGTCACGAACAAGGCTATGTGAGCATAAATAATCACCATCGTCACGAACAAGGTTATGTGAGCATAAATAATCACCATCGTCACGAACATGGTTATGTGAGCATAAATAATCACTATCGTCGCGAACAAGGCTATGTGAGCATAAAGAATCACCATCGTCACGAACAATGCCATGTGAGCATAAATAGTAGCCATCGTCACGAACAAGGTTATGTGAGCATAAATAATCACCATCGTCACGAACAAGGTTATGTGAGCATAAATAATCACCATCGTCACGAACAAGGTTATGTGAGCATAAATAGTCACCATCGTCACGAACAAGGTTATGTGAGCATAAATAATCACCATCGTCACGAACAAGGCCATGTGAGCATAAATAGTCACCATCGTCACGAACAAGGTTATGTGAGCATAAATAATCACCATCGTCACGAACAAGGTTATTGGAGCATAAATAATCACCATCGTCACGAACAAGGTTATGTGAGCATAAATAGTGACCATCGTCACGAACAAGGCTATGTGAGCATAAATAATCACCATCGTCACGAACAAGGCCATGTGAGCATAAATAGTCACCATCGTCACGAACAAGGTTATGTGAGCATAAATAATCACCATCGTCACGAACAAGGCCATGTAAGCATAAATAGTCACCATCGTCACGAACAAGGTTATGTGAGCATAAATAATCACCATCGTCACGAACAAGGTTATGTGAGCATAAATAGTCACCATCGTCACGAACAAGGTTATGTGAGCATAAATAATCACTATCGTCACGAACAAGGTTATGTGAGCATAAGTAGTCACCATCGTCACGAACAAGGTTATGTGAGCATAAATAATCACTATCGTCACGAACAAGGTTATTGGAGCATAAATAATCACCATCGTCACG